TCTTTCATCTACACACACTCAGCCTTGCTCGGGTTCAACTCTTTCTCTATTATGTGGCCAGAAAGAGTTTCCTGGAACTCAATTTTGACCACATAGATTCCTGCTCAAAATCCTGCTGAACTCCAGAATTGAGCAAATGGTCCAATCCAGTGCAAAGTACACTTCTGGGAGTTCTCATCTGACCCTACCTTCCCTTCCAGCCTTTCTTCCCACCATCTTCTCCCAGGATCCTATGCAAAATCAAGTCAGGACTACTTTCCAACTTCCCAAACATGTCACTCATTCCTTCATCATTGCACAAATAATTATGGAGTCTTAATACATGCCAGGTGCTAGGGATGAGAAAGATGAACAAAACAAATAAGAATCCCTGTTTTTTCCTTGGGAACAGAAAACGAAAGTAAAAAAATGTAGTCTATTCTAAAGACAAAAAGTAGCAATAAAACAGAGACGGAAGATATAAAGGGTCCCTCTTGCTTACAGGTCTTCACATGGGCTCTTCCTTCTGCCCATTTTAATCAAATGCACTATTATATTGATATTTTCCTCAAATATAATGTATAACACAGTATATTGCCTAGTCTCTGACTTCTTTTCTCTACCTTGTTTATCCTTTTGGCCAAGCAGAATGGGTGAAAATGATTTTAAAATTCTTTATAATAGTCTTATTTGTATCTTACAACTGACAAATGCTTTCTGGTATGTAATTTCTGGAGTTGCTTAGTGTTCTTGGTTATCTATGAATGTGTAATGGGAAAGAGCCAATAGATATAATAATTTAAAACTCTTTTTGGTTCGTGCTTAAATCTAAGGATTTCACAACAGAAAATCCCAAGTCTAGCTTCTGTTGACCAAAAATTCAAATCAAACTCTTTTTCTTTTAACAATTCTTTGAACTTTTGCAACTACTGAACTTTGGTGCTTGGGAAACTATTACACAGTCTCCCTGCAACACATATTTACTTACTTAGATGGCACTGTGCCACATGGTATGGCACAAAGATGAATACAAGCTGGGTGTGGTAGCTCATGCCTCCAGCTACACAGGAGGTGGAGGTAGAAGGATTACAGTTAGAACCAACCCAGGCAAAAGTGTGAGATCCTATCTGAAAAGTATACTAAAGGCAAAAGGACTCAAGTGGTACAGTGCTTGCCTACCAAGCATAAGGCTCTGAGTTCAATCCACAGTACCATAAAATTTGTATATATACTCCTTGCTATCAATAGCAGTCACAAATGGCAGCAGTTTTTAGAGTATGGATAGCCATGGGACACATGAAGATTTTCCACAGGTTCACAGGCAAGAGTGGTGTGAGCAGAATCCATTTTCAGGTCCTCATACTAACCCATCCGGAAAACCTTGCAGAACAGTCAAATCAGTTTTGCTTTTTCACTCACCTTTCTTGATCACCCTGGTTCCACTTTACAGAAGAACACATACACTTACCATTCTGAGTCAGAATGCTTATCACCCCAGATATAAAAACTACAAAGGAATCACTAAAAATATTAAAAGAGGTCTCCAATAATTGAGGTACAATAACTCCCCCTCCATCTCATAAACTGATGCATTGTCAGTAAATTTTTATTCTTAAGCATAATTATTCTTTCCAAATGTGCAACATTCATGTGTTTTGATCAGTTAGTTACTGATAATTGTCCCATAAACTCTAGCTCAAAAAATATTTAATTCTTTGAGCCTAATATTAGGAAAATCTTTGAAATTAAAATTTCAATATATACTTATTTTGTCACAGAGAAATAGGATAGGTCAACAATAAAAGATTCGCACATAAAATATATGCTGTTCAAATAAGATTCTATGGAGGAATAGAACAAAAATATAAGCTTTAGGGTTAGAGTATAGCGCAGTGGTAGAGCATGTACTGAGCCTGGGCAAGGGTCTAGGTTCAACTCCAGCACCAGAAGGAAAGAAAGAATGAGAAAGGAAGGAAGGAAAAGAGAGAAGGGAGACAGGGGAGAGAGAGAAAGAGAGAGAGAGAGAGGAGAAAATGCAAGTTCTGGTAGGGAAAGAATTGATTTAAAATTTTGACTTAAAGAATACTCAGCAGTCATGGTGGCATGCATCCACAGTCTCAGCTACTCAGAAGACTGAGGTTGGGAGGATTGCTTGAGCCCAGGAGTTCAAGACCAGCCTCAGCAACATAGCAAGAATCTGTCAAGAAGAAGAAAAAGAAAAAGAAGAAAGGAGGAGGAGGAGAAGAATTTTATTCATGTATTTTTTCCAAGAGGAGATGAATGAGCTTTAAATGCCATTGGTGGGGGGAGAGGTGGCCCAAACAAGGTACATGTATGAATAAATGTAAAAACAATTTTAAAAAAGAAAAAAATGCCATTGGTATTTAGCTTCCCTTATATATCATACCTAAAAAAGAATGATGTTAAAATATCCATATTCACAAATATGCAGGATGTAATTTAAATTAATGAATTTTTTAGAGATCAATTCTGAAAAGTATAGGAAAATTAAGTCTAATTGCAGGCATTAGTCAACTTACAAACTTCTGGCTCTGAGTGCTTGGATGTACAGAGGAAACTGTTGGGAGGCAAGCAAGGTACACGAGCAGAGCTCAGGTCTAATTCCACCTGATCTGAGTTGAAGACATTCCTGAGCCATTCACTAGCTGTGTTGCCTCTCTAGGAAGTAAGAATAGCAGAGCTGGCACTTGATGCGTCCCCTCCGCACACTGCCACTTATTTCTTTCTCTCCAAACGGCACTGGGGTGGCCCTGCTTCCAACATGGTCCTGCCCAAAATACGCTTGTTTGCATGAAGGCTCACCCACAATAGGGTGTGTTTGCAATCATAAATTCTGTCTTTTATTCTGTATCAGCTCTTAAACCCACTCAATTTCCTTCCATTTTCCTGGTGCTCTTCCCCAAATATGGTTCACCAGCAAATTTCCCAAGTATCCTTGCATTCAGTCTGCAGGAGGATTATTAATGAAGATGTTAAGTCAGGATGGCATAAATAACAAGGCTTAAGGCCATCCTCCTGACACTTTCATTCCACTTAACAGAAATATAGTATCATTTATCATTAGGTCTTACACTTTTCTGGCCCCTTAAAAAACTCACATAAAGGCACTCATGTCCATATCTTCTTGAATTAGTTTTGCAAGTGAACTCATGAGCGGCTGAATTAAATGTCACTGCAGGACTGAACATCTGTTACATCACACTAATCTATCACTCTCTGCACTCATAAATCTTTACAATCAAAACAAATTAGTCTGGCATGTTATTTCTAGTAAACATTCTCTTTTGTTGTGTGTGGCTCATGCCCAAAAGGAGATAATAGACCAGTGAATGAAAATAATAAAATCTCATCAGTGGCTCAAACATGGCCAAATGATGACAAAAGAATAATGACTCTGGTAACAAAAGAGATGAATAGCAATGTAACAGCCTAGACAGGGATGGGTTGAAGGCAAACTCAGGAAATTCATCACAACAAAGTCCCGTAGAGAAATCCTTGTCTGATTTTCAAACCAAGATGAGCTGCACTTTTCCTAATTTTATGTTTTTCCAAGGGACCTTGGATTGAGCCATTCATGGGGGTCCTCTTTTCATTTGCTGAAAAGGTTGAGGATTATATGAGAGACCCAGATATAGTAGGAGCATCCTGAAGGTGTGATTTTTGGTCTCACTCCTGGTTCCGTTCAGTGTCCATATTATTTTCCTTTCTTCTTTTCATCACTTTTAAAAAATTGTGGTAAAATGCACATAAATATAAAATGTACCATCTTAACCATTTTGAAGTCTTAAGCCCTGTCATCTTGTTATACAACCATCACTACCATCCATCTCCAGAAGGCTTTTCACTTTGCAAAACTAAAAGTCTGTAACCCATTAAACAATAACTCCCCATTCCTCCCCACCCCTCAACCACCACTAGGAACCACCATTCTACATTCTGTCTCTATTATTATGACTGCTCTAGATACCTAATTTAATTGGAATCACACAGTTTCCCTCACTTTTAAAGAGTTTTATCTTCTTGGTTTTTTTTTTTTTTTTTGTAAATATATAACCCCTCTTAAAAACAATATAGGAATGAAAAAAAATAAATAAGGAAATAAAGCAAAAAGGTTGACTGGGGTTGAGAGGGTTCTATTCTATATGTATGAAGTCAGTGGTAAGACCATAATGTTTGCTCATTAGAACAAAATAAAATGGATTATAAGATATATTTGCTATTTAAATGGTTAGTTAAACATTCAGATAGCAAGCATAGTTCTAATAGCAATAAGGTCAAAGGAGACACTGAACATCAAAGAGGTTCCCACAAGGCAGGAAATATCAAGATAATTGAACAAGGAAACCATTGCAGTTTTTAACTCATAAACCTAATAGGCTAAATGCCAGTATTCTGGTCACGAAGATTATTGACAGAGCTGCCTCCACGACAGTGGTTCTCAGACTTCAGTATGCATAAGAGTTAATAGCCACAAGTTCAGGAGTCTGAAGTCTCACCAGCTGCCCTGGTGGTTTGGACATAGGAGGTCGTTATCAAAGTTGAGAGACAATAATCAGTGCAGGGGATTAGATCAGATATTTTAATGCCTGCCTCTGCTCAGTTTGGACAGATAATCTTGGATGATGTTATGACAATAGGGCCGTGGTCTCCATTGCTACCTGTTTTTAATTGCTTCACTTTACACTTCTACATTGTGTTGTCTAACCGGGCTATGGAAAGCTCCAACAGAGGCAGAAGTGAATGACACTGGGAAAAGACAGGCCCTCATTCAACCCTGGAGTGGAGGGTCCCCAAGGGTCGTGCTGCCTTCCCACCATCACGATAAGCCTTGAGAACAGGTCTTGTGATGATTTTCCTTTGGGTTTCTTTTCTGCTCTGTCTCTGTCACCAGGAACAAACTGGCTGGAGGGGAATGCCAGCTGCCCTGGAGCTGTGTTCAGCATGAAAGATTGTTAGCGGGCTGCTCCCTCACTTACAGCTTTTGTTTTCTTTCTTTCCAGAATATGTCTGTGCTGGAGAATCACCACTGGCGGTCCACAATCGGCATGCTTCGAGAGTCAAGGCTCCTTGCTCACTTGCCAAAGGAAATGACGTAAGTGCTGTGAGATGAAACAGGCTGATGTACACACAGTAAAGATAAGATGAGTTCTCCAGGGGCTCTCAGGACCCCTGCATGAGTGACAGAGAGCCAGCTCTATGCTTCCTGCCTGTGTTTGGTTGTCTGGCAGGAGATTCGGTGTCAGGTACCACAACCCAGAAACCAGAATCTCTCTGTGTTTTTCAAAGGGCCTTGGACTATCTATGACCTAAAGTTAAGAAAAGAGACAATAAACAGCTCTCAACTTTCACGCTTCAGCATCAACACTCTGCTTTGACAAATGTCTGTCCTTTATGTGGCCAAAACTGTCCGCTTGTTTAGATCCAAAGAGTAAATATTTAAGAAGGAGCATAGGAATTCTCGAGCTAGCTCAGTAAAGTGTGTTTTGTAACTGCCAATCTTAGCAAAAATAGTAGTCAGAATGTCTTTTCTAAAACATCTTTTGTGAAGTGATTGAATGGGCCTCAGCAATTTTTTTCACCATTACTTTGGCTAATATTTCTTGTATTTTAAACCAAGAAATACTGCTTTCCTGGTCCACTGTTTGCTGGGCCAGCTAAGTAGGCTGCACCTTAACTAAACTCAAGGCATTTCCTCATGGCTCCAAGCTAGCTGTTATACTGTCTTCAAAGCCACCACTGCATCCCCTCTGTTTAATGAAAATATGCAGAACCCACGGGAGGGAGGTGAGTGGCAAAAATAGATCACTGCACCCTTCTTAATGAAAAATGACTGAACTTGAGGTCAAGGACCAAGTGGTGTTCCCCCATAGGACAGGCAACACACTCTGGGATTGTGACTTTATTCCTGGTCCCCTGATACCATCTCATGCTGTTTCCTAGCACCCAGAGGAATGTGGAATTTGCAGGAGGGACTTCAGTCCTAAGAACTTTTTACTCCTTGGAACTTAATAAAACCAGGCCTCGTGCATGCTACAAAAACTTTTACTAGAATAATAAATTGCAAAGGCTGAAAGAATAAAATACAAAAAGGAACTGAAAGCAAGAAATCAAGTAAGGAGAAAAGGAGAAAGAAGGTGGTGAAAGGGAGGGGCAAATAAAGAAAGAAAAAGAGGAGAATAGGAAGAAGAGTCAAGACAGGAAAGAATAAAGGGAAAGGGAAAAGAAAGAGAAGGAATTCATTCAGCGTGACAACTCTGGTTCCCTTTATACCTACCTTAAAGCTGCTTATCGCTCGCTTAGAATTCATTTTCTCAGAGACTCTCACTCATTCCTATGGATTCCAAATAAAAATGCCACTTGAGTTTCTTCATGAAAGTATGTGCTATAAATTGCTTTTGCTAGAAGAATAATTATTACGCAATAATAACTGTGAAGGGACTTCACAACGAGTTACCATCATAATCCTCGTTAGTTTTCTATCATCACGCAAATGCTTTATAGTCATTTTCCAAAGATTTATAAAAGCAAGACAGGTTAGCTGTAGAAACTAAGAAAGATTTAACAAAAGTAGTAGTTTGAAGCAAATGAAGTTCTTTTTTGAGAAGCAAACAACAGTGGAATACTGCCTGTTTCATATGGATTGACCTGAAATGAAAAAGAAAAGTGAAATTACTGATAATCTTGCTGTCTGAGAATAATGCTAACCTGATTGTGAATTTCCTTTTAGCCTTTTTTCAATACAACCATATTTTAACAAAATGGGGGACTTATCTGACAGCTTTTGTCCTGGTATTATTCACTTACCATAAAAGCTTTTTCCATATCATTAAATCTATTACTTAAATTAAAATTATTTTCAATCCCCACCACCACATTATTGTTAAAATTATTTTAAAATAATTTCAATTTTTATTAAAATCATTTTATTTTACTATTTAAAATTATTTAATTTTAAATTAAATAATTTTTTAATTTAATTTAAATTTATTTAAAATTATCTTATACCATTCTTGTGCACAAATGGGTGTGACTGTTGCTTATTGTTTGAAAATTAGATGGTTTACAAATTTTTGTCATTTATAAATAATGCTCAACACACATTCTTAAACATATAATTCTGTTCCACACTCTGATACTCTATTTTCTCAGAAAATATTTGTGAATAGAATTATTGACCAGAATAGTTTGAATTTTGAAGATTATTGTTGCATATTATCAAATTGCTTTTCCAAAAGAGCTTTATCTACCTGTGTTTCTATTAGTGAGTTATAAGAAAATCTACCAATGAAGCATCACCCAAATTGAGCCTTATCTTTTATTGTATTTTTAAAATATTTGCAAATCTCATAAATATATATCTATATATGCAAAGAGAATTTTTCATTCAATTGGTACACACCTTTAATGTAACTGACCTCGAAATTTTTCATATATTTACTGAGCATTGTTATTTACTTAGAAAACAGATTTTTAAATTTGCTCTTTTCCTATCTTATTCTTAGTATTATTTATTTGTAAGAACTCTTTGTATATTATGTTCAGCAACCATTTCTTATACATTGTAACTATTACTTGAAGTTTTTAGGTTGCCTTTTAATTTGATTTTTATGAAATATTTTACTTAACTAAAATAGATTTCCCGATTATAAATCTAATAAATGTTCATATTTTTTAAAAAATTCATGCTCTATTGAGAAATATAAAGAAGAAAAGGCAAATCAACAGTAATCATACTATATCTTTCCAGTTTCTTTTCTGTGACCATAGAGATCACACTTTGCATGCTTTGTATCCTGTTTTTTTAATAGAACAGTAAAGAGGACATTTTTCCATAACAACAAACATAGCTATATATCATCATGTTTAATAATTTCAAAGTTTCAATACAAGTTTTGTGATGTTTGTCCTCCCTAAAATGTTTCATTATTATAAACAATAGGATAAGTATTAATATAACACATACCCTTATTAAATTACATCTTGCCAACATGCTAATATAAATTTGTAGATGAACTGATGGTCATATCATTTATGCCATCAAATGCTTTTTTTAATTTTTCAACAATTTTATTAGCATATAATAGTTTTACAGAGAATTACATTGTGATATTTACATGTGTATTTACAATATATCTTGATTAGATTTACCCCCTTCATCATTCTTCCTCTTCCCTGCTTCCCCTTCCTAGAACAATTTCAACAGGTTTCATTCTTCTAGTTTCATATATACCATCAAATGTTTTAATACTAATTCCTATTACACTAGTTTATATCTAATAAATCGGAGATAGGCATACCCTGTGATGCAGTCATTATATTCCTGAATATACATCCCAGAGAAACTTCTGCACATCTGTAACTGGAGGCATGTAAGGATATTTGTTGTGGCATTTTTCATAGTAGTCAAAAACGAGAAACAACACAAGGGACCATATTGTACTATATTCTCATAATGGAGTATAATATAATAATGAAAATGAATGGACTATTGCCTATACATCCACCTGAATGAATTTCAGAAGCATAATTTTAAGCTAAGAAAGCAAGACATGAATTAATACATACCATATAGCTTAAAGTTCAAAAGTGGTTAAAGTTAAATCACATTGTTTAGACATGCATGGATAGGTAGTAAAATTATTATAAGAAGCAAGAAAATCATTAAAGCAAAGAGCAAGAGGGTAAATGCTTCAGGCTTAGCGGGGGGAGAGGGGTACAGAAGATGTAATGGGAGAGGCAATGGGGAGCTTCTGTGTTCTTGATCCAGGGGTGATACAAGATATTCAACTTATATTTATTAATTGAGCTATGTATGTATGCTCCATGTGCTCTACTTAAATATATTTCATTTTTAGAGGTGAATTTTAAACACAGTCATTTATCCTTCCTTCTACCAATTACTTTCTACAGGTGAACTAAAGTTCTAACTTGTGTTATTTTTACAAAATACTACATTTCCACTGTACCATTTTTTTCTTACCCACTGGTTTGTAATGGTGTCTTAATCACTTTTCCCCTCTTTCAGTCCAGTTCTCTCTATTGTATGCTATTGGTGGATCTTTCTGTTCTATAGTGTCAGTCACTGTTACTCTCATCATTATTATGACTATTACTGTGCCTTTTTCTCTCTCCATAAAAATAATGTTTGAACTAGTTTGAGTTCTGAAAAAGCACAACCCCAGCTCCTGTGACTCTTTATGTCTTCTTTTATCTTCCTTGAAGTGTGCATTTCTGTTTCACTTTCAATTTTTCACCATAGGAATTATGGGAATGTATAAACTTCCACAACTTTGTGTACCTAAGGCTTTACTCCCTCTATTCAGCATTGGCACGCCTCTGTCCACAGACAGGAGACTCACTCTTTGGCTGGGAGGGACTGGACTCTGTGTAATAAACACAATCAAAGGTATAAATGAGATGACCAGCTACCTAATGATTCTCTAATCAATCAACCTCCTCAAAGGATTTGTGTGTGTGTGTGTGTGTGTGTGTATTTTTTTCTTGTTCATTCTTGTGGATGCAGACAGGATATTGAGCAGCAGCTGGGCTCCCTGATCTTGGCCACAGACATCAACCGACAGAACGAATTTCTGACCCGATTGCAAGCTCACCTCCATAATAAAGACTTAAGACTGGAGGAGGCACATGACAGACACTTCATGCTTCAGGTAAACAACTACAAAGCCATTAACCTTGCTGAGTAAAAACACTTTGGGGGCATGATCAATGATTTTAGCACATTTGAGGAATAATCTCCCATGGTAAAAGTTAGAGTGGTGGCCTACTTTATTAAAAGACATATGAAATTGTTAAATGGTTTCCAAACAAGCGCAATCCAGGTTTCGCATCAGTAAGTTGATAATATCTCATTTTTCTTTCTTCAGTATCTACTTCACCACAAAGTTGTCCCACAGGAAGGTTGCATACATACAGTATGTGTCTAACGTTCTGGGGCTCAAACCCAGGAGGACCTGGGTTTTCTAGGCATGCAGGCAAGTGCTGTATCATTGAGATGCACTCCCAGACCAAGTGCTTACCACATTTTGTGGCTTGGAATAAAATTGTCCAGTGTGATTCCTGTGCAGTTTTAAGAGACTGTTTCTGTAGCATGAAACTATGCTAATCATTACCCATCAAGAATTGAAAAACAAGTAGCTTTCCTTCACCTTACCTGTTTTTACTACCTAAATTCCTGTTTTAATCTGAGGCTTACTACATTTACATACCAATAAATAAATAATTTAAGTTTAATTGAATTGAATCAAACTGAATTGGATCAAGTCCAACCCTTTCTACTTTACTCTAAGACAAGAAACCATTTGTAACATGAGAACAAGGGTCAGGGTGAGCCTTGGAAGTACAAATCTGATCTGGTATCCAAGTCAGACCCTCCTCCTTCGCTTCTCCTTCTCCTTCTCTTCTTTTCAGCAGTACTAGAGATTGAACCCAGGGCCTTGCGCTTACTAGACAAGCACCTCACCACTTGAGCTATATGCCCAGCTCTTTGTTCTAATCTTGTTTTTAAGACAGAATCTCACTATCTTCACCTAGGCTGGCTGGAAGCCTTGATTCTCCTGCCTCTGCCTCCTGACTAGCTGGGCTTACAGGCCTATGCCACCATGGCCAGCTCAGACTCTTTTCCTTGATATTCCATTTTCTTTTGTTTTCCTTCTTCCCTTTTGGCACAAAAGACTACATATGTAGACCAACCCTGGACTCATCTAGATAGACCAGCTTTTAACCAGGAACCAGAGACTGGATCATACAGACCTTTCATTCCAGGCCTTCATGCTACCCTCTGTAAATGCTTCATCCTTGCCAGGAAATGCCCTATTCCCAGCTGTAGAACTATACCTTCTTCTTTCTTCCTTCCCAAACTAGTCTTCTAGTACCTGAGGGCTCAAAGATGAATCAGATATTTGAGTGGATAAACCAAGATATGAGTAACTGAAAGATCTTGCCTGAACACCCACATTTTAAAAAGAAGACTAGCTAACACAGATGAAGCCCTGAAGGGCAGGTCCTGGAGGGGACTTTTCCCCCTACCTACTCCAACATGTACTGGTGCCCCCACTAACTAGGAAATGGCAACCAAATTTGCAGTTTAGCATAATCCAACACTCTCCCAGACCCCAACACACCTAGCTGTTCTGTGAGCCCAAGGAACTGAGTGAAATCAACATAGACTGCTGGTGGGTAGGTTTCTCAGCAGCTGATGGTTAAAAGGGAAAATCTACTTGTTTAGGAGTTCAAAGTAACACTCCTAAGGTCATCATCCATGACAAAAGCTGGTGTCCTGGTTCCAGACCCACGTGAGACAAGTCAACAGGGCTCTGAGTTAGTTGTGCAAACACAAGTTTGGTTGGTATGACTTAGCACCCTGGTTGGCAATCTAAGCTTACTTCACATAGACACGGGCACATAAATGCAAACACACACACACACACACACACACAATTTAGGCCATATATGGAGTCCATAAACTTGAGAATAAGTTCCTGGTGATCTCATTTGAGCCTGGCCAGGCCCCTGCAGCCTCACTGCCTGAAAGGGTTGGGGCAAGAGAAGGAGCCAGCCCATAATTTTCCTTGGCCTGACCACCCCAAGTGTACTCCAGAGAGCTCCCCATATCCTTGTACTGTGGCTCTTCTCTCCTGGCAACTAGAAAGCAGGAGCTCTGAATGAAGAGCTTGTGACATTATGAATAATGACTGTTTCCTAAAGGAGCATGTTAGCAATGATTTCTGTAAAGATGGGCCTGGTACTATGAGGCAAATTGGCAGGCCTGCAGCTGAAGGGCCCATCCTCTGACCATCTCTCCCTGCCCTGTCCTTTCTCAGATCGCCTTGAAGTGTGCTGATATTTGCAATCCTTGTAGAATCTGGGAGATGAGCAAGCAATGGAGTGAAAGAGTCTGTGAAGAATTCTACAGGCAAGGTTAGTAGTGACCCAGCACTAAGACTGCAACACCCCTTCTCCTTTCAGGCATTTATCCTAGTAAAACAGGAAACGGCTACTCTATCTTGACATTTATTGTCTCATCATCTCTTTTTCCAACCTTTCTCTTTAATTCACTTGCAAACCATCCAGCCCTTCTGTGGAAAAAAGTTTTTTTCAATAAATAGCATTGACTTACTATGGAAACAGGTAGTAATGAGGCACAACAAAAATGAGAATATCTGTGGATATAAGAATGTGACACAGTTCGAGTTGTACCCTGACCTTCCCTGAGCTGCATACAGCTTAAAGGCTAAGTGCCATTTGGGGATGATATCTTCCTGACAGAAGGACTTAGATCCTTTTGTATGCCCTCCTCTCACTTTCTTAAACAAAGTTCTTAGTAAAGTAGAATACAGCTAACCAAAAATTGAGTTCAATCTTTTGAATGTAATTTCAACAGTGAGAGAAGAATTTTGCTGTGAAAAGAGGAATGTCCCAGAGTCAGGGTATAATTTTTTAAAAATTGCCCTCCTTCAGAAAGAAGGTAATGAATTAGCAAGCAGGATCTTGATGTTGGGTGGGATATCAGCCTTTAAACACAGCCTTGTTTTTTCGGGCTTGGTTTCAGTGTTGAGGCTGTTTATTTGGGCATCAGCGGTGCCCTCATGCTAGTGACAGGATCAGGTTTGAGAGGCTGAGAACAAATAAAGCTTGAAGTGTCCCACATACCAGCTCTGTGGGAGGTCAACCAGAAACAGTGAGCCTTTTGGAGAAGCCTCCATTGAAAGATGTGTCAATGACATCAGAAGGCCCAAAGACAGAAGACAAAGAGGCACTCACCATCACTCTCTCAGAATAAAGCTCATGTAGCTCCCACAACTCTGTGTAATTTCACTTGAATTGAGTGTGAGTGGTTAGAAATCAAAAGCTTAGTGCTGGTTGCCCATGACATAAAATCTCCACTGAGTGCAGAACAAAAAGAAATATGATGTAATTGGATCAAAGAACTTGAAGATTAGGTATGATAAGTACTTTCTTTCCTGTGTGAAATATAAACTATTGAAATAGCAGTGAGAGAGAGGCTAGAAGCTCTATCCTTGGAAATCAAAGAATGGGACAGAGATTCTACTTTGTAGAACCTTTGGCTCACTGGTGTGCCACTGCTGGTGTCAATTATGGTTTAACAATTTCATTGCTCATCTGGCACCTTATTTAGATTCTGAGTGACTTGAGGCAGAGATCAAGTCACTTGAACAGATACTAAGGCCCATACAGTTAGTGGATTAAGTTGTTAACTAAGTGGGGTAAATGACTCCAATCAAGAGAGGGACCCATAATATCTCTTTCAAAAACCAGCCCTAATAAGGTATGCATGTGAAGCCTTGTGAAATGGGAATACTTGGAACATTTCTAACTCAGATCACTAAAGGTGAGTTTTACACACTTTGCTGTGGCATCTCCCAGCAGATGAAGGAGCAGAGAGGGCAGCTTGGGTCCTTTTTCTTCAATAGCCTTATGGTCCTTCAGAAGTTTGCCTGTTTTGAGAAGACCATGCTCTCTAGTCATCCAGACTGTCCTCCATACTGAATGTTTTTGTAGTTCTCTAAGGATGACTTGTATCATTTTGATTAATCTTATTCTGGCACTTACTTTGATTTTTGGACTCAAATCCCAGCTCATCCCAGCCTGCTCCTGGCAGACAGGTTTCTGCCAATAGTCCTGGAAAGGTGTCTTGATTATAATTCATGTGCTGAGCAAAGGAAAACGCTGAAGATCAAGTTGAAGAAACAGGGGGAAAGAAAATGAGATCCTATGATTAAGAAAACTGTTAGATTCTCAAACAGAGAAAAGGATTCCAAACACCATGTACCCTCCCCACCTAACCCTCAACACCTTCACAAAGTAGAATTTCTATCCTATTGTGACTACGGATTTAGAGCGCCTCAGTCCACCTGGTTTCCCAAAAGCTTTTATTGGACATCTTCCCTATCCTCAGCAAAAACTGATTTTCCTATAAGCAAAACCACATTGGGGATGTTACAATTACTACAAAGAAATCTAAAATAACTAGTTTATGTTTTATATCCTCAAAGTAATAATCAGCAAAGCTCCTGGAGAGGAAGAACTATTTGGTTTTCCTCTTTGTAGTCTTTACATTGATTAGCAAAATACCTAAAACATACAAGTGTTTTCTAATTGCCTGTTGAATAAATGGAAGAATAAGTGACTGACTGGAAGACTTCTAATGGTAGAGGTCATAGAAAAGAGTTAGTGCTGAAGAAGGTAGGATTTGAACTTGGTATTGAAGAATGTGTATTGCTCTATACTTATCACTATGGTAGCCACAAGGCATGTGTTAAATTTAAATTAATTAAAATTTTAGTTCCTCAGTTGTCGTGATCATTTTTCAAGGGGTTCCAGAGTGGGAAGTGTGGGGAACATATCCATCATTGCAGAAAGGTCTGCTGGATGGCACTGGTCCAGATAGAGGGCAATGGAAATGGACAAAGGCCCTGAGGTGGGGACACACCCTGCTTTGTAGATCAACTCCATCTCATAGAGGATAATAATGAGAGGATGGTGGAAGCTAAAGAAGAAAACATGACAATGGGGGTCATCTTAGAAAGCATGTTTAGGAGACCACATTTAGTTAAAGTGGAAGAAATACTTGAGAAAGCCAACTAACTAAGAAGCAAAACTAAGAATGAGTTATTATGAAACAAGAGTAGGGCCAAGGAGTGAAAGGGAGGAGATAAGGTATTCTATGACAGAAAGAAACAGGGTTGGATGCCTTGAGAAGGAGGGTGGAGGAAAGAGAGAAATCAAAGATGACTCCTACAGCATGTCACACTTGACTGAAAATCACTATGAATAGAAATGGGGGTGAGGAGTGCAGCTGGCTCTAAGAGAATTCATTTTCATACTTAATGGTGTTCTGCGCTTACTTCTGATTGATGTTGTAGCTTCAGACCGAGATGCTGCTCAAACGAGACCTCCTAGTCCTGCTACCCCATTTCCTACCAACTTATTATTCTCCATTGACCTCAGGTGAAACCAGAGTAGGGTCAGGCAATTTGAAGGTGAGGAAGTAGGAGAGGAGGAGGGCCAAACATGTTTCTTAATCTATAACTTAAAGCCAAAACTTTTATTTCACATTAAAAAATTGACCACAAGTTGTTTTCTGGTTTGTACAGATCTTATTCAAAAGTTTATTCTAGTTGCGAAGCACACCTGTTTATAAGAAGCCCATTATAAATAAATGGTCATTGACACCTTGATATTTTAAGTTTACAGGCAAGCTACAAGACAAGTCAGTGCTGATAAACAGTCTATAAACTCTGGGTTACCAATGTGTTTCTTCTTCTCTCTTCTTAGGTGACCTTGAACAGAAATTTGAACTGGAAATCAGTCCTCTTTGTAATCAACAGAAAGATTCAATCCCTAGTATACAAATTGGTGAGTTGAATTCCATGTCAATTTAAAAAGAATAGTTTGACACCTCTGCCAAGAATCACACAGACAAGATCTATACCAAAGCTCTGAACAGCTGATGTCAAACAAACACTTCAATCATGACCAATCTACTAAATAATTCTCAAGTGAGAAATCATGAAAAATAGAGTAAAATTTTTGTTACAATACTTAATACTAAGTTATAGTGTTCACTTTATGGTTTAGAATAGAGACAAAATCAAATCAAGTAAAAAGAAAAGTAACAGAATGAACTATTCTCAAACTGGGCAGCATGGTGTATGCCTATTATCCAGCACTAGGGAGGCAGAAGCAGGAAGATTCAGAGTTCAAAGTCAGCATAATTGTGCAATTGCATTCTGTATAAGATCATTAAGCAATCAAATGGTGGAAATTTCACACTCCACCAATTTCAGCTGCACATAAAGCAAGCTTCTTTTTCCTTGCAGCTCCCCTCCACTGAAATCAAACATAGAACTTCAACTCTTTTTCCATGTAAGCTCTTGCCCTGCTGTGTGGCAGTTCGTATTTCCAGAGTTCCCGTCATTTTAGTGTATTCTCAGGGCTGCAGCCTCTGCAACTGTCAAGGCTTAATGCCTTGGCCTTGGAAGAGAAGAGGCTATCTGAAAAAGATCAACTGAAAATGAAAATCAGAGGAAGTTCAAATGATATGCTATCATTGAAGGTCAAATCTAATCCACAGTCACATGAAAGAGTCATAAAGTCATACTCAGAAAACAGGATCTAAGCAAACCCAGCTACAAAAGATTCAAGTGGACTATACAAATATTCAAATAGGCATGTTGGAATTATGAGATACAGGATGGCCCATCTTTTTTCCAAATTTTCCTTAATGTTGTTGCATTGTTTTATTAAATTGTTTCCTCTACCCACAAATGGAGATATATAGCTATAGCTATATAGATATAGATATAAATTAGATATAGATATAGATATGAAAGAAACCAACCCAGAAGCCAGGCACCTGTGATTCATGCCTGTAATCCTAACTACTTGGCAGACTGAGATCAGAAGGACCACAGATGCAGGCCAGCCAGAGCAAAAAAGTTGGTGAGACTCCCCCCATCTCTATGGAAAAAATCTAGATGGGGTGGCATGTGCCTGTCATCCCAGCAAGAAATGTAAAATAGGAGGATTGCTGTGAGGCTGGCTTGGGCAAAAAGCAATCCCATTTCTCCAAAATAACCAGAGCGAAAAGCTGCAGGCATAGCTCAAGCGATAGAGCACCTGCCTAGCAAGCATGAAGCCTGAGATCAAACTCCAGTATTCGGAAAAAAAAAAAAAAAAAACAGAAGCCAGGGCAGAGGACAAATGAAAACTTCTGGGAAGACAGGCAGTCAGGGAGGGGAGTATCAACAACAGAAATCCAGCCTCGGCCTCCTTGGGTCCAGTTCTGTCCTATGATTTAGCCCTTGGGTTCTACAGATTGTCTAATCTGAGAACCACTGTGTTCAGCTCTGGCTAGAAGAAATTGCCAGGCAACTGCTAATAACACTTGGAACACCAAACACCCAAACAAAAGCATGACATTCTCAAGCACTCAGCCTGGATTTGCAAACAGGCCCGATTTCAGAGATCTGTCCCGTTTGTTGTCATGAGAACACACTTATTTTGTCAGATCATGTATCCTGATTTTCAGCTCAGGAAAACGTGTTACCATAGATACCTCTTTAAAAATGGGATGGGGTTGTGAATAGGAAGTCTCAGGGATGCAACACCAGCTCACCAATAACACAGAGAAAGAGACGGCAATTATGAAACAACACTTGTTCATAAATCTGTCTCTGCTCTGTTCCACATCTGACAGCTCTTATCGGTCCAGGATTGTGAGAAAACGGTGCTCAAGCTAAACTAGAAAAATGCAAATAGATAAAACAGTCAGATGGATGCTGCAGGCTCTAGCCTCCACCCACACAATGATTTCTCCACTGGGTCGCTCCATCCGGACTCCCCTCTGTTTGATAATGTCCCTCTCTTTTTTCCCATCGCAATCCAAAAGGAGAATTTGCTAAATGTAGGAAATTTTCTATTTAAGTAATTTATATTTACCCAAGTGGAACTGGGCTTACTATACTGCTACACACACTTACTCGCCACTCTCTCCACCAAATTTGCATTTTAAAAAAGAAATATTACGTTGAATAAATCTCTTATTGATAGAATCTATAGAAAGATGAAAAAAAAGATATTTTCCCTCAATTCTTGTCTACTCTGAGGCCACCCTTCCCTTCCCCCACTCTCACCCTCCAGGACCAAAACCCAGTAGTCAGTTTATTCCTGAAGAGAGAGGTTGGCACTCCACTTTGAAGAAACAGATTCCTAAGTCCTGGAAAAATTGCCACGTGGTGTCTATTCTATTTCAAACACTTTCCTATCTGGCATAAGAAGTCTTTTTATTTGACAAATAGAAATACAGATGTATAATTCCAGGGGTAACTTCAAGAAGAAAATGAATTGATTATTTTTTAAATGTAGATTGGTAATCTTGTTATGGCTAGGTAAACTTGATAAATATTCACATTTAGATTTTAGAAGAGTATAAATATATGAACTGTCTTTTTAGATCTCTAGACTGTAGTCTTTTTTGAGGGTAAAAGACCTCAGAAATTGCATACAGTGATTATGAAGGAGATGAAGGAAATCCAAGGATGGCAAGCAAAATGGGAAATCCTTATTTGCTCACTCCCTTTATCACTCCTAAAGCTGCCGGCTTAGCTTTCTTCCTGGGGTTCAGGTTATCTAAAATGATATTAAGATGAGATAATGCAGAAATGGACAATAACATTCCCACCCTTTTCCCATCCTCCAGCATCCTCAAAGGTCAGGTATCTGCTATTTGCCCAATATGCAGCCAAATCAAGCCTTAGCCCTCATGAGATGATGAAGTCAGCCTTACAATTCACATGGCCGTAAACATAAGAGCTAACTGCTGGAAACTGTTGTGCTGAAAGCATTCACCTTTCTCCCCACACTTACATCCCAAGGAAATAGAATGAAACCTAAACAAGTTCAAGTGTGACGATGCCAGTATTTCCAACCTAGACCAAAAGTTCTCTTCATTTAACAAATCATTTTTTAATATGGAAAGCACATTAACAACAAATAGGATTAGAAAGTCATGAGTTTTCAATTATTAAGAGATCAGACGCGTTAGCCAGCATGGTGGCACACACGTGTGATCCCCAGCATATGGGAGACCGTGGCAGGAGGATTTTGTGTTCAAGTCAGGCTGAAATACATAGGAAAACTCTATCTCCAAAAACAAAAAGAGAGAGAGAAATAAGAAAGTCTAATATCAACCAATCTTCTGTAGCCATTTAAGCAGGATTTAGATGAATGTTTGCCTTGGTCTAAGTTGCTTGACATAATTGAAGGCAAGGCAGAACTATAAATGCTGATCCTGAAGTGAGGGTGGTACAGAGCACTGTGCATGAATTCCCTAGATGGCCTGAGTGGGTGAAGCATACCTTGCTGATGTCACGGGCCTTCCCGGCAACCTTCCTGCCTTAGTTCCTGCACACACTCTTCTTATTTTTGCAGAAAGTTCTCTCTCCCTCTGCAAATAACAATCGCTAATATTTGATGACTAGAAGCTACTACTGATGTACTGAGCTAGTATAATATTTATGACAGCTATAATAATAGCTGATATTTAAAAGCCAGGCGCTTTTTAAGCATTTCCCATGTGTTGGTCATTTAATTGTCATCACACCCTACTCTTCTCAGCTCCTTTTCACCAGTGGGGAAAGAGAGGCACAGAGGTTGAGTGGCAAACCCCCCAGCGACACATCTTGTTTGTGACCTCATCTTGTCTGGGAGGGGGACACTGGTGAGGACGGTGCTGAGCGAGTGTGGCCTTGGCGTTTCAGGTTTCATGACCTACATCGTGGAGCCGCTGTTCCGGGAGTGGGCCCGGTTCACGGGGAACAGCGTCCTGTCGGAGAGCATGCTGCGCCACCTCGCCCACAACAAGGCCCAGTGGACCAGCCTGCTGTCCACGCAGCACCGGCGCGGGGGCGGCGGGGACCACGGGGGCCCGGGGACTGAGAAGGCCGAGCAGGTGGCAGAAGGCGACTCGCCATAGCGCAGGCCTGGAGGCCCGGCCACCAATGCTCGCCAGGAGCAAGATCGGAGGGACACAGGGCCCAGCGATCCTGGGGTTTGCCCAGGGCGCTTATTGAATGCCGCCCTCCTGCCGCTTCCCTGCCTCCCTCCAACTGTACAGAAGCCATTTGTCACCTCAGCATTAGCTGCCGAAATGAGCAACGCTATCCAGTAAGATGGGCGCAGACGCCGGAGGCAGGCTGCCCCTGCAATGAAGAAGACTGGGAGCAAGAACGGGGTGCCCCTGCCACGTCCCGCTCTGGCCCTGGGTGGCACTGAAATAGGCAGCCGCATTTTAGCATTTGCCATCCGACCGCTGATCTGCATGACAAAACACCAGCATATTTGGAACTCCGAGGATATTGGTCTTAAGTGCAGAGCACAACCACGAGCTTGAGAGAAAGTACCTTCTATTTTAATAATAATTATTATTATAAAGATAATAATAAATCTTTTTAACTTTTATATTTTATGCACTAGACAATGGATCTAAAATTTTGGACTGAGATCACTCAATGTACCCAAACTTGAGCAAGGGGTTCATTGTTTTGTTACTGACTTGTGACACTTTGGGTCAGAGATTTGGACATCTTCACAATTTAAGAAACCACATTTCCTGTCCCATCCGGGGAAGGTGCTGTACAGTTCACCCCTTTGCACCGTTAACCAATCTGTCTTTTATGGATTCGATGACCTGTTTATATTCACACATGTACATTTTCTGTAAATACCAAGCGCTACTGATTCCCATGCCAAAATACAATGTATTATGGGATTGATACCTGTATAAACAATGGCACTGTGAACAGAATACTGTTAGTTTTAATACAAGAGAATGCATTTGTAAATATGGTATAGAGTTTATTAATATACTATTGTTTGCAGATAAAGGCCTTAATGTTAAACATCCTTCATCTTCTGAAAGCTGCCCAACTTAAATCCTCACAGATGTCTTTCTGAACTGCCTGCCTGTGACTTACCTTTAGACTTTCCAGCTAAGGTCACAAACCAAAACTGAAAAAAGTCTTGAAGGGAACACTTTTGGAAACTTCATGTGAATTCTGCTTTCGACCATAGCGTTCAATCTACGGCAGCAAGCCTCCTTTCCTCAGATTGCAGACTCTCTTCAGCAAGCGTGAAGTCGCTTTTCAAAGCAGCAATGTTGCACACACTGTTTTAACAAGCCAGCTGATAAGCTTGTGTTTATGTGACTCTTGTTATGGAACATGGCGGTGCACCCAGCCTCAGAGGAGACACAGCAGGTCTCGAAAACCTTCTATGACCCTGTCACCTAACCATCAGGGACTTCCCTGCTCCCATACCACACATTTGTCTGTTATGGCTACAGTACCAAAGTACCTTTGATCCATGGTTGGTGTGCATTACTTTGGTGTTAATAGTAACTGGATCTTTCTTTTTCCTTGGTGTCATGTGAACAACGACTGAACTGTTTAGCTGAAGTTAACATTATTTAAGTAAAGAAACTATTTTGGTTTTATGATAGACTTTACCTTCCTGACAGGTCATTGTGGTTAATTATGGCTGTAACTAGCAGTCACGTTGGAATTTGTTGCCATTTTTTTTCTGCAGACACTTGGCTATAAAATCTAATTTGTTACAGCATCCTTCTCTAGTCTGCTAACCTCTGTGCATTGAACTTTTTCTTTATAAATTCTAGCATAAATCATGTTTGATGAAAATTGTTTAATGGCCCTTTCTCTTTACCTTAAACAATGTGGTTGTGGGAGAATGATAAAGCTATTTTCTCAATCTCATAGAATGACAGCCAGCTCATATTTCTAAGTACAACTAGTTTGGTTTTTTTTTTTTTTCTTCTAAAATCAAATGAAATGTTAGAAACTTGACTGGCTTTAATGTGTTCCTAGAGAGATTGTGGCTTGGAGACTTAAGGTTTAGAGGAAAATTTGGAAAGTTGGTTACATTTTCATTAAAGTAGGTGAGATTGTCAGGTGATGTAAAGAAAGTGTCAAGATCTTATAAAGCAGATGGATGCAAAGTTTAAAATTACTGATATGGGTAGAAGGGAAGTCATAGAAACGTAACACTAAGTTTTGTTTCATAGTAATCATGAACTGACATGCTTTTCTTTATCACGGTAATATTCTGAAGCTCTCAGGTAGGTGAGGCCCCAAAAGAAAAAAATGTTGGATCGATTACTGCTTCTAAACTGCTCATATTTTGGTTTGATGATGCAGAGAGAGCTCTCAAGTAGTCTATTTTTAATACCCATGAGATCAAATCAAGGAAAGCAATTGTTGGGGATGAGGACGTAGAGATAAGGAAAGAAGACGTTGTTTTGGCTAATGAAGACACTACCAAGTGGATTTTGTTTAAATTATAATTTTATAATAATTTAAATAAATAAGATTAAGGGCATTCCTGGTAGCTCCAAGTTGATAGGGCAAAAGCGTTCTTGTTACAATTAAGTCTTGAAGAAGAGCTCACAGTTAAACTACCAAATAGCTAATTGTTAAGGCTATGAGTTTTCCACTAGTACAATACAAATTTGAGGTAAAATCAGACACAATGCATAAATTAGATGCATCTGTCTCTCTTAACTGTCTGTAGATTTCTTGAGTTCCTCAGTTGTTGGCAAAAAAGAATGTGAAAACATTTTTTTTTCTGGCCTTCTAGTGGCTCTCTTGGAATATTTCAATAGAAGGGTCTAATTAGTAGTTGGGACATAGCTATTGAATTATCTATGGATTTTAATCTTTGCAGTCTCATTCTGCCAAGAATTGTCAATTGTTGACTTACCAAGTTTAATTCTTTCATTGCTTGTCAAGAAAGAACTTAAAGGGCTATTTTTAGTAAGCTAAAGTCAAGATCACATTAAGAGAGAGAGAGAACATACACATCACTGCCGGGCCTGATAAGCAGAGCCTGCTTTTCCTTGCAATAGCTGCAGTGAATAGTCAGACCCAATTCATGAAACCCTGGCCTTCCCATAGCTCCCTGCTAGGCTAAGTAAAAAAACAGCTCTATTTCTTCCTGTTTGTGGCTTCCCACAAAGGGCCTTGGAGCACATCCTGCAACCTGTCTCCAGATAATGCTACCTACAAAACAGACTTGTTTTGTAATCTTTTCTTGTGTTGACTCAGATGTGCTCACTGATTTGGATTGGATTATAAGCTTGTATATCCCTGTATTCTTCATGCTTTGTTCTTTTAAGCAAACTCTTAAAGTTGTGTCATCTTGTGTACACATGTAAGGTTTGGGGGGAAAAAAAAACCTTGTGAGTTTTGCTCAAAATGAGGCCTAAATATCCATCGGCATGTCTAGATGAACAATTAAAAATAAAAATAATTTCTTAAAAATATATGAAAATATCCTGATTCTCATCAGATAACATGCTATCAGTGGATCAGTTGAAAACATTCAGGAGGGATCCCATTCAAGAGAGCAGCACAGAGGCACACATGGTCCACATGACCTCCTTTACTTGGTAATTAGCGCCACATCAGGAAAACAGGCCTCCCTGCAATTTTACATTTTGCTAGAGTTCTGATATTTTTCCAAATGCATACACATACACAAATAAGGCACTGATTCAGGTCATGGAAACACATCAGACTAAATGCAACAATTATTTGTGAAAAATAGAGTCTCACATTTCAGAATTGAAGGCCATAAAGACCAAAAAGAACAATGAAACAGTTCAGGCAAGACCACGGAGTATGCTAAATTTTTCTTAAAATAGAGGAGGAAAAGAACAACACCCATGTTTCCCAGAAACCTCCTCAATCGTTTTCTCCTTATAGCTTTACGTGTTCTCCCACACCTACTTTATTAACATTTGTATTCAGAATCCCACTGATTTCTGAATGCTTCCCATAGCTGAATGCAAAGCTACTTTTCAGTGGATATTCCATACATGAAGTCAAAACCAAAAGAAAGAACCAAGTGACAGTCCAAGTAACGGTCAAATGTTACTTTCAGATATACATGGGACCAAGCTGAAGCTAGATCAAGTAGGCAAAACCTCTACAAGCAGTTAAATTTCAATTAAACAAATACTGAGATGTCACCATGTCCCAGATGCTGTGCCACATAGCAGGACCCAGGTCCTCCAGGAGAATTTGGACTCGTGTGGAAGACTGGCATTACTAGGATGTGTTTCTTAGAGAACTTTGGAGGCACCTCCTACAGTACAAAATACTAGAAAGCAAATAAGCTTCCAAGACAAAAGTGGGTCACATTTATGGTTCTGTCGCTAACTTATTCTGTGACTTGAAGGAAGTTACCAAAACCACTATAAAATTATTTCCAGACAATAATTCCTTTCATAGTATGATTGTGGCAATTAAAAGAGATTGCATACAAAAAAAGCACCAAGCACTCTCTCTGGTGCACGGTAGACTCTCAATAGGTAAAAGTTTCCTCCTCTTAAGTTGCAAAAAGATTGGAAAATGATCATTCACACAGAATAAGAATGGGAAGAATTGGGTGGGGAGGAAAGTTCTGGTGTCATGTTCATTAGGAAGTCATGTTCATTTTTACAGTTTTTGATAATATTTGATGTACCCATGAATTTGTAATGTCAGCTAAAAGGTAACCCTTTCAACTTGTTGTTTAGTACGAGCTCTGCCCAGCTACAGCCTACTTTTCTGTTTAGTCCTCCTGATTCTAGAGAAAAAGACAGTGGATCTTTTCTTTGAAGTTGTGCAAAAATTTCTGTAAAACAAACAGCTCCTAAAAACAAAACGAGAGTCATTTACTTCCCTTGTGTCTAAACCCTAATTTCTGCTGGGTATGGTTCTGGCCCTCTGTGTTAAGCCCTGAAGTTCTGTGATGCCCTTTACTGATGGCACAGGAACAGGGCTGAGGGCCTCTCCCACATTTCCAAACATCTTCTCAAATTTTGCTTATTGTCTGTCCTATAGCAGGACATAGGCAAAGCCACATCTTAACATCCTGTTGGAGAAGAGAAAAGACTCCCCTCTTGCCTCCAGGGGAATGCAAGGGAAACATTTGAGTAATGACTAAATAAGGAGCTTTTAGCTATGAAGCAGTCTCAATAAATAGGCCTTTTATTTTTCAATTAAACCAGAGAGATTATTAGAAAAACTTTGTTTCAGCTGATGCAGTATGAAATTTTCCTTGTCTTAGTTATCTATTAGATAACAAATGTCATTGATTAAATTGCCTGCAATGCTTCAAATTCTAGTCTTGCAAGAGCTGATTTAAACTTCAGTGTTCTATTCCCTTGTAAGGAAGCAATGGTAGTTTGGAAGTATGAGCTTTGGTGTCAGATAGACCAGAATTTCAAATTCCTTCTTATCACTTGCTGCTTAACCCTAAGCAAAATAACTTAATATCCCTGAACCTCTATGTCCTCATGTATAAAATGATACTAACACCTACCTCCTGGGGTGGTTGAGGGATCAAAATTAAATAACATACATAAAACAAATAGCACCATATCTAGAAAAGAGTTGCTATAGTTTGGATGTGGACTGTACCCCCAAAGGCTCATGGGCTAAAGGCTTTATCCTTAGCTTAGTACTATTGGGAGGAGGTGGAACTTTTAAGAGGTGGAGCCTAGTGCAAGGAAGTGAGGTCATTGAGGAGTAAGAGAGCCCAGCCCTTTTCTTTCTCTTTCATTTCCTGGCATCCAGAAAGTAAGCAGCTTCCTCTTCCATGAATTCCTGTCATGATATACTGCCTCACTATAGTCCCAAAAGTGACGAGGCTAACCAGCCATGGCCTAAAACCTCAAAAACTATGAGCCAAAATAAACTTTTCCTCTATGAATTCATTAATTCAGACATTTTGTCCATGACAGAAAGTGGGCAAACAAGTGGGTACTCTGCAGAGGTAAGTTCCTACATCATTTACAAAAAAAACATGTAAAGTGGGAATTGGGATGCATCTTTCTGTAGGCTGCATCAATTTTTGTGCAAATAAAAACACAAAATCAGTTAATAGTCATTGAACATGATTATATCTATAGATGACATATTGGTCATAAAATAATCCTTGCATTAGAGACAAAATACTGTCAAAAATGATTAATGAAAGAACTCAGTGTTCCTGGGTTAGTAAGGATACATTGATAAGACCAGGAACAAATAAAGGGCTATCTCTTCTCATTTTAAAGTAAATACTCCTTAGTCCGACCACAGAGAACCAGTCTGGTTGACATAACACTTTCCTAGAGTTGACAAGAATTCAACTCCAATTGGAGAGAAGGTTCAGTAAAATAAACAAAACATGATAACCTGCCAAGTTTTCATGAATTCCACTCAAATCCTAAAAGTTTTATCCATCAAAGTTTCCACTAGCCTTTCCCCTGTAACTTCTTTATCAGATCCTCTGTGGTCATTGATAGCAAAGGGCTCCAGGGTAGTCCATGCATATAGATGGCTCAAAAATAGATTCAGTTCTACATTATCATTTCCCAAGTTGCACAAAAATGTATATGCCAAAAGATTTGTGTCAGCTGGAGAAAGAATGCTTTCACAGTCAAGGAAGTTTGAGAAAGAATGGATCAAACACATAAGCTTCTCTCCTGCATGGTTCTGAGAGCTGTAAGGCACCCATGGACATTTCCAAAGAGATAACATTGATGAAATCATTTGTTTGGGTCCAGTTTTGGTTTCAAATCATGAAGTCTTCCTTAACTATCCTAACCCAGAACGATCACCCCATTTATTATTTCACTGCCTTACTATTGTTAATGGGTATTATTTTTATTAGTATTTACATACATGTGCATATTCTACCCAACTTAATAGAACATTGTCACTAACTTGCCTG